TTTTTTTTCCATTATTCGCTCCAGCGTCCAAGAAATCACGAAGCACACTCGCAGTTTTCAGCCCTTGATTAATTCAGAAGCTACAGTATGTTGATGGTTGCGACAGGCTATGTAGTGAAAGGTATGTAATTGCAGCTGACCTTCCACTAGAGGCCGCTATAATGCCTTTTAACCACTTGAAAATCGTCACGGTGGTGATTAATTAGTAAAGAGTTTAGAAATGCACATTCCCACATGGTTGTTAATCAGTATTTAAGCATATAAAGGGCATGCTTGGGGAGTTTGTGGTCTGAAAGGCCTAAAAAAGCTCTTGAGGATAGTTTGTAAAGCAGGTTTAGTTAGCTGGAATGAAATAACCTGATAATGTTAGGCTTCCTTGTGTTGGTGACACCATTATGTAGCTTCAGCTAGCTGGTGAAAGCAAGTCAGTTTTACGCTGCCTACTGAATTAGCTGTGTGCTCCACTCTTGAAAAATGCAGGACAGCGGAACATTTAATCCTTCATCTGCTCATGCAAAAGCTGTAGTAAATCATCAGCCTTATTTCATTTGAGCATGAATTACAGCTCATTATGGAATACTAACAAGAGGGGAACACAACCACAATGGTTATAGGAGCTAAACAATGTGGGAGTCAGTAGGACATACTGTTAATATAAAAAGCACAATAAATAGTTGCCTACAAAAAAACTGTCTGGTACAGAGATGGTCTGATTAAAGGAGGTCGAAACAGTTACAGGGAACTTGATGTATCCCAGTCCAGAAGTCCATATGTTTTGAAAAATTCTTGGATAAGAGTATACAGTACATTACTCATTTCTCAAAAACAAAAGACTTACTCTCTTCTTCCAGACATGCAAGATCAGATTTCAGAAGCTTTTCAGAGAGACAGACAGGGGATTTTCATACAATATTTTAGCGATAGAGTCTTAGTAGGCAGCATTTCCTGGATGTCTCTGGGTAGTTCAAGAACACGCAGTAACAGAAACGGAAGATAACAGCCAGCGAGATAAAAAAATAGACCCTGTAGTTTCTGGCAGGTGTGCTCCTGGTCCCCCTGCTGTTTTTTTTGCAGGATTCAATGAAAGATTGTGTGTATATTAATCACGTCTCAAACAGATGCACACTCTCCCCCCAGAAAGCGGTTTTTCGTTTACTAGAAAGCTAACCACACACCTCAGTATGTACAGTATGGGAGGCTGACACTTGATAAAGACAAGAATCTCCCTTTGATCTCTGAGCTCTCACTTGAACTCAGCCCAGTGTAGGAACCTGAGTTTTTGTACAGCTTCTCAATGACTCT